TGCGTCCGTTCAGTGTCTACTACTACTACTACTACTACTATTCCTACCGTCGCTGCTGCTGCTGCTGCTGCTGCTGTTGCTGCTCCTCCACTCTTCGGCCCCCTCCCCCTTACGGTGCTTCTCCTGTGCAGGAACGTTTCGCCTCGCTCGCGGACCCTATCGCGCTTTCGTCTTTTATGTGCTGAATTCGTTTTTTAATCCCTCCCACCTTTACCTTCTTCAACAAATGACAAATTTAATTAATTATCGCGACAATCGGAATAGTCGAAATTTTTGGATAATTGAGACAATAGTTTCTCCGTCACTCGTGAACTCGAGTATTCGAAACTTGAGATTATATAACTTAGAATCGATTCGAGATTGTAGAAGTATAATTGTAGACAATACAACAAGATAATCAAATATGATTATCTAATCTATGAAATTTGAAAAGCGGATAAAAGGAGGTGATTTCTCCTCCGAAACGAAACAACGTGAAATATTTTGAAAAGTTTGGACAAATTCCGAGTATCAAGAGTAACGCTCTTGAAGGCTAGGTCCCCTCCCCTCTGCTTCTTCTTTCACCCAAGTGAGACGCAGGTGCCTCCGCGCCATCACGATCCATCGCCTCCTCTCGCTTTCTCCATCTTATCCCGTATTAAATCCTCCTCCTTCGTTCCCCGCCCCTCCCGTTCGCTTGGGGTCCCCCGCGAATCCTTTCCTTCCGCGCTTCCCCGTTATTCGGCGGCCTACCTCCCCGATGCGGCTGGTTTGGCGGGTAATAACAGCAATCCGAGGGCTACGTAGGTGGAGCACACAGTTCTCGAACAGATTGTTCTCGAACGTTACGCGCTTTACGGGCTTTTGAATGATTCGTCGGCGTCAATGTGACAAGTACATTCTAGAGCATTCTCGTCGTTACGCGCACGTCGTTTTCCGCGTCCGAATCCAATTCCGCTAATTGGTCGCTAAAACTAACATTTTTTCCGGATAAAAAAGAAACTGTAAAAAAAATGTTATAATTATAGCTATCGGTAAACAGCGATCATAAAAACCTCATTACAGATGATTTCGCTTCAGCTCCTGAGCATTAGCTTCCTCATTTTTGTGATGTTACGTTAAATTTTTCACTATTTATAGCTTTATTAATTTTTTCATTTAGAAAACTTGAGATAAAAATATTTGTGAGATAAATCGTTGAGATTGAATTCTCCTCTGAATTTCGGGCGCAAAATAAATAAGGTAGAGCGTCGCAGATTTTTTTCAGACGTCGCGAATCCTCCTTATGGAAACTACTGTTAGATTATTAGCATGTGAGATGTAAGATTCATGCAGTGTTCCGCGTGTCACAAACTTTTGCTGCTGTCGACTGGTACTATCGCTATTTTATCCACGCATTAAAATCTCTTCCTCTCGAGAGATGCGAAATTCATTATTAATTCGTCACCACGGCGCGATGAATTTTGCAGAGGTCGATGAACGATATAGAGGAGTCCCCAGCTGGACTCCGGCAATGTCTCCGATGATGTCGAGAAAGAGGTCTACTAAAAATAACCCGGTTTCAATTTCCGCTACCGCGTTCATGATCGACAATCGCTAGCCGAGAACGCCATAATGGTAGGCGATCGAGGACGTAAATGTAGGTTAACGCTAGGAAAACTACAAGTTTTTGTGAGAGGCTTCCCCTTCCGATGTACTCGTTATGTATTATCGTGTCTCTCGATGTTTCTTTAATTTAACTGACAGCGATGAACAATATTCATGCATAAAAAAAAAAAGAAAAAATAAAGAATAAAAGTCGCGAGGAGAAGAAAATACAGAAAATACGAAACTGCGTTTAAAGTTCGAAATTGTATTTTGAATAAATCTTTATAGAGAAATACGCGCTCAGGATTATTCTGTGACAAATAAAAGTCCTCCTTCTAGTCGAGTGGATCATCGAATGGATCTCAAGAGGAAAAATCCATGTTGTAAATTCTTAGAAATACAATCGTACGTCGGCTCTCTTCTTCAGGATGCACTCGCTGCTATAATGTAATCTGCGATTTTATGTATAACATTCAACTCGCATGATTAGATATTAAATCCACGCTCCAGAAGGCTACTGTCTGGAAAGATTTAACAGCTGGAATAGCATTTGGACTAAATAATCCGGATATCTAATATTGAATTATATAAAAATTGAAATATCATCGTATTGTTGTGTTGAAAGATTTTACAGAGACTCAGGTTAAGTTACTCAATTGGTGAAAGATTAAAATTTTACAGTTTAAGATACCTGTTGATTCACTGCAGCCATTTTGAATTATAACGACGAAACGAGATAACATAAAAAGTTTTGCAAAATACATAAAAAAAATATTTTTCGATAAAATAACATTTGCAATCGATGGAATAGATTCGTAAAATATAAATAATATTTAATTGATAAATAATTATATATAGAAATAGAATAAATTATGCCTAATTAAAAACAGAGTTACACGATTTAATTTTAGACATACGGTTATTTATTGATTAGCAAAAAGAAAACTTTGATATTTTTTTACAAATTCTAATGTAAATATATTTTCGAAGAATATTTCTATTTTTATGTATTAAGCAAAAATTTTTATTGTGTAATTTCTCGCTTCTAACGTCATAATTCCAAATGATTATAGTGAGTCAACAAGAAGAAACATATAAATATAATAAATAATATATGAGTTATTATTTTTAATTAACTATTAAAAAAATTAATAATATTGTTTAGTATATTTCACGTGAAATGAATGTTCGCGAAGAGGCCTCGCAATTATCAAATATTATTAAATGGACTATATTGATTCGCAAAACTAATATTTCTATTTTAGTCTTATTCGAGTGCATATCAAGCAGATCGCTAATGAGAAGCGTTCTTATCGCTCAAAACCCTCGAGTCTTAATTGCGAAATGATGTGATGCTTTTATTTCGAGCTCGAAAAAGTGACCTTGACCCTTTAATTGGAGGATTAAGATAATTTCGATATTATGCAAATATTAGCTTCTCGAATCGTCGCACCGATAAATTTACGCGACAGGCTGATATTATTCGCCATATGTATAAAACCGAGAGTAATCCGACATAATTGCCTCCTGTATTTTTCTTCAACCTGACATTTCCCACTGTTCGACATGTATTACGTAACGTAGATACTTTGAATCATCGCTACTTATTCAAAAAAAAAGAGTATGTAAAAAAGGGAAGAATAGAAGGATTTTGCATGAAATGACTGGCCGTTTTTATGAGTAAATTACTTTTAATGACTTCTTCTCTAATGTATTTTGCTCAATAATGATTGTAGCTCAATATTAATTGTTATTAAGTATGATTAATAACATTGATTTGCATTATAATATTCGATCGGATATCTTTTTATATAATTGTTAAAAAAGGTGGCATGTCTCTTAAAATCAACGAGAAAAGAAAAAAAATGAGAAAAATAATGATAGAAAAGGAAAAATAAAACCTACATTGATCAATATAGAAAAAAATTTATAAAAATCACATAACCAGCAGCTTTCGTCCCGCAAGATCCTTCCATCCTTTTCTTTCCTTATTTTATTTTTAGGCGTACACTGGAGCAAATATTAGAAACAGGAATAAGTATTAAATTTTGGAAATGAAAATTCGGAAAAATAAAAATTAAACGTAACGTACAATAAAAACAAATATTCATTGCGCGTTATGTTTTTTAATTTTTATTCTGAAGTTCTTAAAAATTTAACATTCATATTCCTATTCCTAATATTTCCTTCATAAGCACGCGCCTATATCATATTATTATTACATTCATTGATACCTCTTATCGTCATGTTATCATATTTAATTAAGTACACACGCCGTGTTACGCTTAAAAACACGTAGTACCAAATAATCGTAGTAATAATGAGTCCGTGAACTACTGTCAGGTGTCTCTGGAAACTACATGTTTGCATAGCAAATAAGAAAACAACGCGTCTGTCGGATACCAGGTCTGAAGGGGTTAATATCCCCCTGTCGTTCGCAAATGCTATATAATCGGCTGTAATTGTGGGAGAGGGGGGGGGGGGGAGGGGCGAGATGCTGCAACTAAGTAAATCAACGACGATCTCTTTCGCAAGCACGCCCAGCCTCATCCTGCGAGTCGCGACTTTGTCACGGCGTTGTTTGAA